GTCACTGAGGTGTTGATCGACTGGATCCGCGGTGCCCGACGCCAGCTCAGCGAGAGTTTCGGCTCAGACCTTCCTTTTCTGCGTCTGCACTCCGACAGAGGTGGTGAGTTTTCCTCCGACCTTCTGAGGGCTTTCTGTAGTGCGGAGGGCATCCGCCAGACGTTCACGCTTTCGGCCTCCCCACAGCAAAATGGGATTGCTGAGCGCCGCATTGGCATGGTCATGGACGTCGCTCGTACGTCCATGATCCATGCGGCTGCTCCCCATTTTCTGTGGCCGTTCGCGGTTCAGTACGCTGCGCATCAGATCAACCTTCAGCCTCGTGTCTCCTTGCCGGAGACCACACCTACTCTGCGGTGGACGGGGAAGGTTGGCGATGCGTCTGTGTTCCGTGTCTGGGGATCTTGAGCTTTTGTCCGCGATACTTCCGAGGACAAGCTGTCCTCCCGTGCTGTTCCCTGCGTCTTCCTTGGCTTCCCCCCTGACGCACCTGGGTGGCAGTTTTACCACCCTACCTCGCGTCGTGTTCTGTCCTCTCAGGACGTCACGTTTGACGAGTCGGTATCTTACTACCGTCTCTTTCCCTACCGCACTGCCCCTCTCCCCCCCCCCCGCCACTCTTCCTAGCACCAGGTGCTCCTCCGGTAGACCCCCTCCCCCCTCAGGGTCCTGCCCCCTCAGGTGTGTCCCAGGTAGACCCTGTCGAGCCTGTCGAGGTAGCTGTCGACTCTGGTGCTGCTAGGGGTGCTGAGCCTGCGGGTGCGGGGCCTGGGGGTGCTGAGCCTGGGGTTGCTGAGTCTGAGGGTGCGGAGCCTGGGGGTGCTGAGCCTGAGCGTGTGGAGCTTGGGGGTGCTGAGCCTGGGGGTGCTGAGTCTGGGGGTGCTGAGTCTGGGGGTGCTGAGCCTGAGCGTGTGGAGCCTTGGGGTGCTGAGCCTGGGGGTGCTGTGCCTGGGGGTGCTGAGTCTGGGGGTACTGAGCCTGGGGGTGCTGAGCCTGAGCATGCTGAGTCTGGAGGTCCTCCGGGTGTCCCGTTACAGCGGGAGCCCCTCTCTCCGCAGCGGCTACGTGAGTGGTACGCTCAGCGCTGTAGCCATGCTGCTGGAGCTACGGGGCCTACTGGTGGAGGTGCTTCTAGAGCTGGAGCTACAGGAGGTCCTGCTGGTGTTGGAGCTGCTGGAGGTGCTGGAGCAGCTGGTCCCGGAGGTGCTCGTACTGGAGGTACTAGAGCTGCTGGGGCTAGTGGTGCTGCAGGAGTTGGAGCTGTAGATGCTGGAGCTGTTGCTACTGGAGGTGCTGCTGGAGCTGGAGCTGCTGGAGGTACTGGAGCTGGTGGTGCTGCGGGAGTTGTAGCTGGAGACCCTGGAGCTGAGGGTACTGGTGTTGTCTCTGCTGTTTCTGGAGGTGCTGCGCGGCAGCGGCCGTACTACGTTCCGCTCCTTCAGCAGGTTCTTGGTCTCCCGCCTTCTACTGGTCCTACTCCTCCCTTACTAAGTCCACCGCCTGTCCAGACACAGTCGCAGTTACAGCCAGCCTCTCCACTGCCTGGTCCTTCTCCTTACTCTGGACCGACTAGAGGTCTTACGGAGCGTCGTGAGCCTGTGTCTCGTTCTGCGTCGCCTGAGTCTCGTCCTGCGTCACCTGAGTCTCGTCCTGAGTCGCCTGTTTGCACTGGTCGTCGTGTTCCGCGTCAGCGTCCTCCTCCCGTCCCCGGCACTCACTCTATGACTCTGCGTCCTTCCACTGCTCCACATCGTGTCCCTCTGCCGTCTCCTCCTGCGTCCTCTCTTCCTGACGGTCCGGACCCGGAGTCTGACTTCCTTCGTGCTGCTAGTCGTACTGTCACACGTTTTCTGGCCACTGCTGTCACTGACCCTTCGTTTGAGTCCACTGCTGCTTCTGCTCTAGTTGCTGAGCTTGTTGACTTTGCTGCCGCCTGTCGTCTAGACTACGCTGCTAGTCTTGTTGCTGAGTCTGCGTCTGCCAGTCCTCCGTCCGTCGGGGGTGAGTGTGCTCTTGGCACGGACGTCCTTGAGGACAGACAGGAGGAGTTTGAGTGCTTTGCCGCTGCTTTACCTCATCTCCTGTCCATACTGCTTGCCCCTGAGGGAGACCCGGATGCACCAGACATCCCGACCCCACGCTCTTACGCATAGGCGATAGAGGGTCCCTACTCCTCTCAGTGGCAGACAGCCATGGACACAGAGATGGCTTCCTGGAAGTCCACAGGCACCTACGTCGACGAGGTTCCCCCGCCTGGGGCGAACATCGTCAGTGGCATGTGGATTTTCAGGGTGAAGCGGCCGCCGGGTTCTCCGCCTGTCTTCAAGGCGCGTTACGTGGCACGAGGCTTCAGTCAACGACAGGGAGTTGACTTCTTCCAGACCTTCTCCCCTACCCCGAAGATGACCACTCTTCGGGTGCTACTGCACGTCGCCGCTCAGCGTGACTACGAGCTACACTCTCTTGACTTCAGCACAGCCTTCCTACAGGGCAGCCTGCACGAGGAGATCTGGCTGCGCCGCCCACCTAGCTTCACTGGGTCGTTTCCTGCTGGTACCCAGTGGAGCCTCCGGCGGCCAGTCTACGGTCTCCGCCAGGCACCCCATGAGTGGCACGACACACTGAGGACGACTCTTGCTGCTCTTGGGTTTGCTCCTTCCACTGCTGACCCGTCGCTGTTTCTTCGCACTGACACCACTCTGCCGCCGTTCTACGTTCTCGTGTACATAGATGACTTAGTCTTTGCTACTGCTGATACTGAGGCACTCGCCCACGTGAAGTCGGAGCTGCAGAAGAGACACACGTGCACAGACTTGGGTGAGCTGACAAGCTATCTTGGCTTGCGGATCACCCGGGACAGAGCACAGCGCACCATTACCTTGACTCAGTCACACATGGTGCAGCAGGTCCTTCAGCGCTTCGGCTTCACGTACTCCTCGCCACAGTCCACTCCTCTGCCTACCGGTCACTCGCTCTCAGCTCCACCTTCGGACGAGTCCGTAGAGCTGAGTGGCCCGTATCCAGAGCTTGTGGGCTGCCTCATGTACCTGATGACCTGCACTCGACCTGACCTTGCCTACCCTCCTAGCATTCTAGCACGCTATGTCGCTCCTGGCAGACACAGGAAGGAGCACATGGATGCAGCTAAGAGGGTGTTGCGCTACTTGTGCAGTACGTCGGGCATGGGGCTCGTGCTTGGAGGACGGGCTCGAGTTGTCCTCACTGGTCACGCAGACGCTTCCTGGGTTGACGACTTGGCTACGCAGCGATCGTCACAGGGTTATACCTTCAGCCTTGGCTCCGGCTCTATCGCTTGGCGGTCTACCCGCTCGTCTTCTGTTCTCAGCTCCAGTTGTGAGGCTGAGATCTACGCTAGGGCCATGGCTGCACAGGAGTTACGCTCGCTCACCTACCTGCTGACCGACTTGGGAGAGGCGCCTCGTTCTCCTCCAGTTCTGTACGTCGATAACAAGGCCATGCTTGCCTTGTGTCAGGAGCACAGACTGGAGCACAAAACGAAGCACATTGCTCTGCGCTACTTCCTTGCTCGAGAGTTGCAGCAGCGTGGTCAGCTCCGTCTTGCTTACGTGGCCACTCGGGCCAACACTGCTGATATCTTTACCAAGGCACTTCAGCCTTGTGATCATCAACGTTTTTGTACTATGTTAGGTCTTGTGCCTACTTGGCCTCACTTGCTCACTTCTTGACTCTGCCTGTACTGTGATCTCTATACATATACATGCATGCTTATACTTGCTAGGTTCTGTTCATTGTATTGCTTGTTCTCCTTTATATAACTCTGCATGTGAACTGGCCTTGTGGCCATTTGCTTGTGCTCAGAATGTGTGGTGACGTCGTGATCCACCCTGAGCTTGCTTTGCCTTTCTTGACCGGTCTTGTGACCTCTTGTTCTCCCCCACTTTGCCTATGGGGGTGTGTCAAACTTATATGCTATAGTCTGTCTAGACTATAGTGGGGTAGTTCATATAGGGTACAACACTTTTAGGTTTCCTACTTGTACCCACCTGCTTGCTAGTTCAGTCATTCCTTCCTTCACTATTCTAACACTGTCCCACACTGTCGTTCTGTGTCGGTGTGCCTGACGAGATGATGATCGGTTCTTCCGATTGTGCAGGTGCGTTTGCTGGTGCATTCACTGTCGATTGCTGGCGAGCGGAGTCGCGTTCCGCCGTGAGTAGCGATTTCGAGGGCCGAGTCCTCGAGTTGGCGTACAAGACGGTCGAGTTGCTCTTGCGTCAGTGTCGCGAGGGTGATTTCAGCCATGGTGGGGGTGTCAGGCAAGCTCAGCGAGAGCCTCTGTCTTGGCCGTGCGTGCTTACGAGAGAGCACTACGAGCGGCGGTGCTTGGTCGTTGAGAGACGTCTACCCGCCCCAAAGAAATTGAGATAGTGGGGAAGCGAAGGTGTGGGTGCGGTCCGAGAGAAGATCGTAGGCTCTGATAACCAAGTGTTACGAGTGCAATTGAGTGAGCGAGCGAGGATTGCACTATCGAGGCAAGAATACAATGAGCGAAGGTTTGAGCGAAGAATATATAGCGAAGCTACAGTGGTAACGGTAACGTGTGGAAAATGGGGTGCGCGACGGGCCTGGTGCCGAGGTTGGGGGACTGTCGAGGCGGAGGTCCGGAGCGCGGGTTACCAATCGAACCGTGAGGTTGGATCGCATCGTGAATAGTGGCGGGAATGGGGTCGAGGCGAATGTCGCGAGTGGTAACGGAATGTTGTGGGGTGCTGTTGGCGGGAAGAGTGGTGTACGCGCTGAGCAGGGACGCGAAGTAAGCATCCTTCGTATTTCGGTTTCCTGGGCAGACCCTTTCCTTTCATGATCCGCGTTCGCCCCAACTGCGGTTTCCACCGCGATCGCGATCCGCGTCCTGTTGTATTTCCACCGCGGTTCCCGGCGCCATCCGTACCGTCCGCCAGTCAGCCCGACGGACGTCTCCTTGTATTTTTTTTTCCTACCTCTCGATCAATTCCGCCATGGACCGGTCGAAGCCCGTGAAGTACGGCCTCGAGATTCGCCGCAAGCCGCAGAGCCATCATCACCCTGCGACATCGGCGAAGGCGTTACCACCTGTGCGAGATGCTAAGTTGCAGTCGCTGTTCGGCGACGATGACGGCGACGGCGACGGCGTGGAGGCGGACATCGCGAGGCAGAACCTCAAGAAGCGAAGCCAGCGTGAGGTGCGGCGGGATATGCGGGTAGTTGACTGTTAAAAATCGTGGTGGTGCCCGTGGACTTCAGCTGATGACGCGTGACGACGCGTCAATTACGCGTAGACGACGGCGAGTAGGCTCGACGCGGCGAGTAGGCGGACACGTCGAGACAGAGGTTCAAGAAGGGCCGACACAGCAGCTACTAGGCTACCCACAGATTTTCCAACTTGTAGGCGGACCCTTATTGCGATCAAGCGGCAGCACTAGCGCCCGTCTTATACCTTGCTTCGAAATCATTTTGTCCCTTGTGCTCCCCCGGTTACCGCATCATGTGGTGGTGGGTGCAGACGGAGCAGCAGCACGAGGCAGCCATGGCGGAGGACCCATCAGTGTTTGACTACGACGGGGTGTATGACACCATCCACGCCGCCAGGACGTCGCGAGCCAAGGAGGCCGTGCAGAGACAGGTGGGTGCAATGCGGTTCAGTACGGTGCAGTTCGATGCAGGCGATGCTGCACGGTCTGTTTCTGAGGCGGCCCAATAGCAGCGCCCATCAGTGTTTGACTACGACGGGGTGTACGACACCATCCACGCCGCTAGGACGTCGCGAGCCAAGGAGGCCGTTCAGAGACAGTTGGGAGGAGTGCGGTGCACTGCGGTGCAGTTTCTGTGCGGTCCTGCGCGGTTTGTTTCCGAGGTGGCTCATAAGCGGCAGCACGAGGCAACCCATCAGTGTTTGACTACGACGGGGTGTACGACCACGTTCACGCCGCCAGGACGTCGCGAGCCAAAGAGGCTGTTCAGAGACAGGTGGGTGCTGTGGGGTGCAGTGCAGTTCAGTTGGTGGGATGCGCCGTGGTGCAGCGGTGTGCTTGCAAACTCCTTTACGCCTGTGGTACAATCGGGCAGGCTTATACAGATTCATGGACCCTCTGCGTCATTCCCTTGCATTCGCCATTGACTCGATGTGACTGCAGGCACGCTACATTCCGAACTTGCTCAGACGACCAGAGAAGGAGAAGGAGAAGGAGAAGGAGAAGGAGAAGGTTTTGATCCCATTCGCCTCTGATTCGCCCCGACCGCAGGCGCGCTACATCCCAAACCTGCTGAAGACGACCAAGGAGAGGGAGAAGGAGAAGGAAGTGGTGCAGGAGCGGCTGCTGGCGAAGGAGCAGAAGTGAACACAACTTGTCCCTGTCCCGTCCCTTCCTGGCTTTGCCCCCCTGTGTTTGTTTTTCCCTAACTACAGGCACGCTACATCCCAAACCTGTTAAAGACGACCAAGGAGAGGGAGAAGGAGAAGGAGCTGGTGCAGGAGCGGCTGCTGGCGAAGGAGCGAGCCAAGGAGGAGGAGGAGTTCGCAGGCAAGGAGCGGTTTGTCACGCGCGCTTACCGCGAGAAGCTGGCGGAGAGGCAGCGATGGCTGGCGGAGGAGAAGAGGAAGGAGGCTGAAGAGGCGGCTAACGATGTGAGGAGGGAGGGCTGCTGGGTGCTTGTGGAATGGGGTGTTGCGATGGGGATTGGGGATGGCAATGTTCATGGGCCTGGGCACTGGCATGAGCGTTTTTCCCGCCCCCTCCCTTGCCCTTCTCCCCTCCCCCTCCCTTGCCCTTCTCCTCTTCCCCCCATGCCCATATCCCCGTCCCCTCCCTTGCCCTTTTCCCCTCCCTCTTTCTTGCCATTTTACTCTGTACAGTCAAGTAGTGATGATGAAACCTCTCTTTCCCCTGCTTTTGGAGAGCACAATTTTGATTTCTGCTTCAACCCCCCTTCCCCCCTGCTGCCCCCCTCCTCACTTTCCCTCCTCCTCCCCCGCCCCTTTCCCTTCCGCCCCAACCTCCCTTTTCGCAACGTCTACTCCTCATCTCTGCTTTGCCCCCCTTTCCACCCTGCCATTCCCCCCTACCCCCCTTGTTCCCCATTACCCCATTTCCCCCATTCCTTTCTTCCCCTTCCCCGCTTTTTCCCCTTTCCCCCTCTTCCCCCCTTTCTCCTCCTTCCGTTCCTTCCCCCTCCTGCCCCCACGTCTCCTCCAGGTGACCAAGCGGTCGGACCTGACAGACCTGTACCGCAACCTGTACCGTGCACAGGATGCTCAAGCCAAGTCCCCCGGTTGGGGGGATGCTCAAGCAGAGACTGGGGTGAAGCTCACAGGGAGGGTGGCGGAGAGGGAGGAGGAGAGGGCAAAGGGGGGGGAGGGCAAGGAGAAGCAGAGAGCAGGGAGCAAGGAGCGTGAGCTGCCAGTGGGAGAGCCAAGGGCGCGGAGCAGGGAGGGGGAGGCAGCTGCTGTGTTCCCAGAGGGACGGGAGAGCTGCGGGGAGCTGCGGGGAGCTGCGCCAGCGGTGGGTGCGAGGGGAGGTGGTGGGAGGGTGGGTGGGGATGGGAAGGAGGATGTGAGTGGGGGGAGAGATGGGGAAGAGAGTGGAGAGGATGGAAGTGGGGGTGTGGGAAGGAGTGGTGTTGCTGGTGCGCCTGCCGCTGCTGGTCCCAGTGTGAGCAGGGAGGTTGACTTGCCATCGAGAAGCGGCCAGGAAGGCGCAGGTGAGGATGAGACGAGACGGGCTAGTGGAGCAGGGCGTGAGGGTGGGGGGGATGGTGCTGCTGGGGTTTCTGGTGAACATCCTGTGCCAGGTGTCAGCAAGCCATTGGAGGGTGGTGATAAGAAGGTGTCGGCGGAAGACAAGGTGAGTGATGCTCGTGCTCGGTTTCTAGCGAGGAAGAAGCAGAAGACTGTTTCATAATGCAGAACTGTCTGAATGCATAATGCTGAGGATATGATAATGTAATGATTGGTTGTAGTTGGTGTTTGTCACTAGTGCTGTAGGGGCTCTGATGTGATCTGCCGTGCAGAGGTGCGTGTGTTCTTACCGTATAAGGAGTTTACCCGTTTGCCAAACTACCAAGGGAGAGAAGAGGGAAGCATACATAAAAGGAGTTCACCTTGTTTTCGTATCATGTATGAACATTTCACCTGTTAGCTATAACTCGATTGCCCTTCTAGGGATTAGCGAAGCGCCTGCACTGCAATTGAGGCGATTTGTCAGGCGTCAGTCAAGTCAGGTGGACGGCACACCTGTCGGTCGGTTCGGTGTGTTCACCCTGTCAGGTCAGCCCAGCTGTACCCCTGCCGTGGGCCAACACCCATTTCTTGGAAATTCCGCCCTCTAGTTCTCTGGGACAGGTTAGCTGCTCGAAGCGCGTGCTGGTCAAATTGTGCAGCGAAATTGAAATCCCACGCGCGGCTTCATGCACACACAGAAGTAGCAAATGCTGCCCTTTTTCACCGATCCCAACCCAGAATCATCTCTAGCTTTCACTTCGAGAAAGCATATGGAAGGTGTCAGGTTGATGCAGAGTAAACTCTCGGCTAATTCGCAACATGGCCAGTTCTTCAAAGGCTGCGTATTAGCAGCTTGGTGCGGCATCCTGGAAGTCCGGAATGGAGCAGACTATATTTGTCGTTTAGGAGCACCTTGAAGTTCGACTTTTGAGGCGCCCCAAAAGTAGTCAAAAATCAGTTGACGAGAGAGCCTCCTCGCTGGTAGATTCGAGATTTGCAATGGATGCGAACTGATCAATTCATGCAGTGCTACCACGAAATGGCGTCGCGTGCTGCGTTTCGTTCGGTTTCGCACGATGTCGCATGTAATTTCGCTGGACGACCCGAGACGACGAAGATGCACGTCACCCCGCGTCGCAGCGACAACCTGGGCGTTTGCGAGCTTGTAACCGCTCCGAATTTAGAATGTAGCGACACTTCGTGCGATTCTGACGACGACTGCGACTCGCCTGGTACGCTCTCGCCTGCACTCACCCCATCACCCCAAGTCAGCCCCTCATCCTCTTCCTCCACCTCTCCCTCCCGCTCCCCCTTAAACCCGCTAGTAGCGGCCTCGACGGATTCGATACAGCGGCTGCGGAAACTGCTCGCTTCAGCAGCCATACAGAATCAAAAGAATGGCCACTGCTGCTACCGTAACAAGCGGAGCGATACAAGCGACAGATGGAGCGATGGAACCGCGGGCTCAGGAAGATTTCTACGAGATTCGCGGCCAGTTCGCGTTCGCGCTCCGGAGAATTACAGTCCGACAAGCGGTGACGGCCGCGGAGAACTGCAGCGCTGCATTTGCACGGAGGTACAAATGTTTATGTGTGGCAATATAAACGAAACCCACATTGCTTATAAGGGGTACGTCGACGCCAGCGACGGCGACGGCAAAAATCGCCGCGTGACCACGACCAATCAGCGACGTCGCCCCGAGATCGCCGAATCGCTTGTTCTAGACGAGGAGAGGGCGAGGCAGGAGGAGGAAGCTTCGCGGAAGAAGTGGGTTGACCGTTACCTGAGAGACTGCCTCCACACGTGCGCCGAGAGTAGCAGTAGTGGGTGCGGGGCCAGTAGTTACTGCGGAAGCGGAACGAGTAAACGAGGAGGCGGAATTGATGACTGCGGAGGGGGGATCAGTACCGGAGCTGGTGCAAGTGGGCGCGTACCGCCCCCCCTGTCTTACTACGCGCTTTCCGTTAAGCGCGGCCGCTTCCCCCGCAACCCCTCCCCACTCCCGCTCCCCCCCTCCCTTGCGCGCCCGCGGCAGACCTTCCGCCAGCCCAGCATTCCTGCCCGCAGACGCCAAAATCCCCGCAGCGGGGATCAAGGGCCCCGGCGCAAGCCGTCCGTCCGAGAGATTTCCCCCGCACGGAACATAGCGCTTGTTCGAGCGGTATTTTGCACCAGGCTGGCGCAAGCCGCCATTCCTCCCGGGGCCGGGGGAGCATCCGCGGAACGCAGAGTGCGGCCGCAGCAAGGCAAACGGGCGAGAGCGGACCACAGGGCGGGGCTTCGGGGGAAGTTGTACGCGCGGATGGCGCGAGAGGGGCGGATGGAGCGGAGATATTAAATCCTGATCGTCCATCTGTGAGAGCAGCTCAGACGTATGCCTCCTCGCACGACTCGCAAGCTGTGTGTGGTTCGAAAGGAGAGACGTTTGAGGTGGGGGAGAAGGAAGAGAAGGAGGAGGGGAGGAAGGAGGAGCAGAAGAAGGAGACGAAGGAGAAAGCGAGCGAGAGTGGTGATGCTCGCTGCTGCAATGGCGCGGATGGCGCAGCCGAGAGTCTGTCGAGGCGACCCAAGAGTGGTGGTGCTGGGAGCTGTAGTAAGGGCAGTGGCGAAGAAAACGAGAGTGCGATAGGCGCTTTAACGAACGTGATCCGTAACCGATGCGCCTTAAAACGGGTGGATGGCAACGTGCCGTCTCAGAAAGAGGCAGCAGAACGACACGTGGTAGCAGGGGATTCGTTGGGGCTGGCAGCAGCTGGTTTCGGGCAGGAGGAGAAGCAGGTATTGGGGAATGCGGTGGAAATGGATGTGGCGGGGCGAGGTGCGATACAAGGGGGTGAGAATTGCAGCCTTCGCAACTGCAACGAGCAGGTGAAGGTGCCAGTATCGAGGACAAAAGAGGGCTGCGAGGAGGTATCTGGAAGGGTAAGGAGCGAAAGGTGGCAGCAGGAGTGGAAGATGAGCAACGTGCTCGGAGGTACGGAGCGTGCTGGTGGTGATGGTGATGAGAACGTTGGGCCTGCTGCGGGCGGTGATGCTAGTTCCTGCGCCGCTGCTGCTGATGGAGCTGCTGATGGTGGTGGTGCTGAATGTATGTGTGCTGCTGCTCCTCCTACAGCTTCTGGTGATACGGCTTCTGTTTCTGCTTCTGCTCCGGTTTCTGCTTCTGCTGCTGTTGCTGGCGCAAGCGATGTTGCTGGGATAGAGAAAAGAGTAGCGACCGGGGCAGTGCAAGGCGCAAGGGGGACCGAACCACGCGAGGGAATAGCAGGCAAAGGATCCGTGGGGGAAGGCGTGGCGGAGGGGGAAGGCGTGGCGGAGGGGGAAGGCGTGGCGGAGGGGGGAGGCGTGGCGGAGGGGGAAGGCGCGGCGGAGGGGGAAGGCGCAGGGGAAAAGTCAGTGGAAGAGGAGTGGGGGGCTGAGGAAGCAGAGGGGGACGAAGCAGGGGAGGAGAGAACATCGGGCGAAGAGGGTGTGCTTGTCGTGGTTGGGTGTGATATGCACGCCCTTAACTTGGAGGATGAGCAGCAGCGGGAGGACCAGCAGAAGGAGGAGAAGCAGAAGGAGGAGGAGCAGCAGAAGTCGGGGTGCATGAGGGAGAGAGGAAGAAGAGTGGAGGATGCTGAACAGCACGGGTGCCACACAGGGGAAGCGGCAAACAAAGACAAGGAGGTGGCGATGGAGAGGGAGGAACGGGGGGAGGTGGCGGAGGAGGAGGGGGGTGTGGAGGAGTGGGAGCGGGGAGGAGGGATGATCCTGGGAGTGGTGAGGCAGAGTTCCTTCAATCGAGGCCGGGGGGTCCGCAGGCTAATTGTTCGAGCACGATCACTGAGTAAGTCACCTCCCATTGCTCGTTTTGAGGCGCATGTAATAGTGATCCTGGGAGTGGTGAGGCAGAGCTCTTTTGACTGGGGCAGGGGGTTCTGCAGGCTGATTGGTCGTGCACAATCACTGAGCAAGACACCTCCCCGTTGCTTGGGAAGGACCCAATGAGTAACCCTCTGAGTGCACATCTCTGCTTCTAGATGTGCCTCATGTGTGGCTGGTTTACATGTGTTCCGCTGCTTGATTCTTTTAGGCGTCTCAGGATTATATCTTCTTCGTGTGCAATTGTTCCACAAGTGATTTTTGAGGCGTCTCAGGATTATATTTCCTTCGTGTGCGATTGTCCCAAAAGTGCTGCACTTGTTCGTGTTGCTTGCCCCTCACTAGCCCCTCCTGTGTCGTCTGTCCCTCTGCTCTTGTTGCTTCACCCATCTTTTCCTGACCTCTCTCCTCAAATCTCTTTCCTCACCTCTTCTCCCCCTCACCTCTCCCTCATCACCACGCATCTCGTCAGGCCCGGGCCCTGTCTTGCGGTCGATGATCCAACGGTCCAGATGCTCCAATGCCACTCCAACTAGGGGCATTGCATCCCGCAGCATCAGCAGGGGAAGCACCTGGGGAAGGAGTGGTGAAAGAGAGCAAAATACTCAAGGAGGCACAGGTGGTGCAGAAAAAATCAGCGAAGGGGGCGGCAAGAGGGGTGCTTCGAATGACGGAGTAGGGAGCACGATTGAGTCGATACTGCAAGGAGTGAGCGATGGCAGAGGGGTGAACAGTGCAGGCAGCATCAGGGCGTTGCTGCGACGGTATGTCGCCAAGGAGAACGAACATGCTGCTGGGCTTGAGTCATCACGCGGTGGGGGAAGGTCAGCAGCAGCAGAAGGGGAGGTAGGAGTAGTGGCGGCATGTGCGGAAAGGAGTGGTTTTCAGGGAGGAGCAGCAGCGGCATGTGCTGCAGTATGGGTAGGGAGGTCATGTAGGGTGGCACCTCAGCAGCAGAGAGAGCAGAACGATGAAGCTGATGTAGTGGAGGCACAGGAGGGAGCGAGAGCAGAGGGCGAAGGGAGAACAGAGGATGAAAGGAGAGCAGAGGATGAGGCACGAGGGGAGTGGCAGGAGCAGAAGCAGAAGTACATGCCGCAATGTTGCCTTGAGACGCCACAGAAGCCAATTAGTAATACCCAGGCGTCTCAGCAACGGAAGCAGAAACACCTGCCATCACCACAGCTGCTTGTTGGGTGCGCTGTGAAGCAAGGCAGCAGAACGTGGCCGCAGATAGTGGGTAAGGCGGAAGAGAAAGCAGCAGAGGAAGCAGCGGAAGCAGAGGAAACAGAGGAAGCGGCCGAGAGGATAGTTGGAAAGGGTGGGTCTTCGATCAGTGAAATCCGAGGCTCTGCTACTGGTGTGCTGCAGGGGCTGCTCTTCCGACCCAGGCGAAGGAGGGAAGGGTTGTCGTTTTCTTAGGCAATGGGTAGATACTTCGGCAAATGATTCTCGATGGGTTGACATGACAAAGTGGGCTCCAGCAACCCCACGTCCGCCAGGGCCGCGCACAGCCCCAGATAGGCTTCCACTCCTGCATCACCCCTCTGTAACCGCCGCAACACTATAGCGAGCTGCTGTGCGTTGGGCTGCATGCCCCTTCGCACCATCTGTGTGCCATGATAGAGAGGGGGAGAGGAGAAGAGGGGAAGGGAGGTGGATTTGAGGTGAAGGTGGGCTCCAGCAACCCCACGTCCGCCAGGGCCGCGCACAGCCCCAGATAGGCTTCCACTCCTGCATCACCCCTCTGTAACCGCCGCAACACTATAGCGAGCTGCTGTGCGTTGGGCTGCATGCCCCTTCGCACCATCTGTGTGCCATGATAGAGAGGGGGAGAGGAGAAGAGGGGAAGGGAGGTGGATTTGAGGTGAAGGTGGGCTCCAGCAACCCCACGTCCGCCAGGGCCGCGCACAGCCCCAGATAGGCTTCCACTCCTGCATCACCCCTCTGTAACCGCCGCAACACTATAGCGAGCTGCTGTGCGTTGGGCTGCATGCCCCTTCGCACCATCTGTGTGCCATGATAGAGAGGGGGAGAGGAGAAGAGGGGAAGGGAGGTGGATTTGAGGTGAAGGTGGGCTCCAGCAACCCCACGTCCGCCAGGGCCGCGCACAGCCCCAGATAGGCTTCCACTCCTGCATCACCCCTCTGTAACCGCCGCAACACTATAGCGAGCTGCTGTGCGTTGGGCTGCATGCCCCTTCGCACCATCTGTGTGCCATGATAGAGAGGGGGAGAGGAGAAGAGGGGAAGGGAGGTGGATTTGAGGTGAAGGTGGGCTCCAGCAACCCCACGTCCGCCAGGGCCGCGCACAGCCCCAGATAGGCTTCCACTCCTGCATCACCCCTCTGTAACCACCGCAACACTATAGCGAGCTGCTGTGCGTTGGGCTGCATGCCCCTTCGCACCATCTGTGTGCCATGATAGAGAGGGGGAGAGGAGAAGAGGGGAAGGGAGGTGGATTTGAGGTGAAGGTGGGCTCCAGCAACCCCACGTCCGCCAGGGCCGCGCACAGCCCCAGATAGGCTTCCACTCCTGCATCACCCCTCTGTAACCGCCGCAACACTATAGCGAGCTGCTGTGCGTTGGGCTGCATGCCCCTTCGCACCATCTGTGTGCCATGATAGAGAGGGGGAGAGGAGAAGAGGGGAAGGGAGGTGGATTTGAGGTGAAGGTGGGCTCCAGCAACCCCACGTCCGCCAGGGCCGCGCACAGCCCCAGATAGGCTTCCACTCCTGCATCACCCCTCTGTAACCGCCGCAACACTATAGCGAGCTGCTGTGCGTTGGGCTGCATGCCCCTTCGCACCATCTGTGTGCCATGATAGAGAGGGGGAGAGGAGAAGAGGGGAAGGGAGGTGGATTTGAGGTGAAGGTGGGCTCCAGCAACCCCACGTCCGCCAGGGCCGCGCACAGCCCCAGATAGGCTTCCACTCCTGCATCACCCCTCTGTAACCGCCGCAACACTATAGCGAGCTGCTGTGCGTTGGGCTGCATGCCCCTTCGCACCATCTGTGTGCCATGATAGAGAGGGGGAGAGGAGAAGAGGGGAAGGGAGGTGGATTTGAGGTGAAGGTGGGCTCCAGCAACCCCACATCCGCCAGGGCCGCGCACAGCCCCAGATAGGCCTCCATTCCTGCATCCCCCCTCTGCAGGCGTCGTAACACTATAGCCAGCTGCTGTGAGTTGGGCTGCATGCCCCTTCGCACCATCTGCAGTACATCCACATCCACATGCCCGGCCTTGAGCGCCCTTGAGCGCCCTTGAGCGCCCTTGAGCGCCCTTGAGCGCACCCCCCCCCCCACCATTAGCACTTACCCACTCAACGCACCGGCCTCACGATGAGGGCACACCACCAGCCACACACACAGCACACTCTCTACTCACCTCCCTCACGGCGAAAGCAGCCACGTCCACGTGTCCACCTTTAAGTGCGGCCCCCACCATGAGTGCATACGCCCACTCGTCCAGGGGACTCCCCAGTGCCTCCAGCCGCTGTATGAAACTGGTTGGGGGGAAGAGCGAGAGAGGAGAGAGAGGGCAAGGCAATAGCATGATGAGAGAGCGGTTGAAGAGCAGAGCACGCATGGCGCCCCCCACCATGAGTGCATACACCCACTCGTCCAGGGGACTCCCCAGCGCTTCCAGCCGCTGTATGAAGCTGGTGGCGGGAGGAGGGTGGGGGGAGAAAGAGAGGGGGAGAGAGGGAGGGAGGGAGGGAGGGATGCGGGGCAGGGAGGGAGGGACGGAGGGAGGGAGGGGAGGGAGGGACGGAGGGAGGGAGGGAGGGAGGGAGGGAGGGAGGGAGGGAGGGAGGGAGGGAGGGAGGGAGGGAGGGAGGGAGGGAGGGAGGGAGGGAGGGAGGGAGGGAGGGAGGGAGGGAGGGAGGGAGGGAGGGAGGGAGGGAGGGAGGGAGGGAGGGAGGGAGGGAGGGAGGGAGGGAGGGAGGAGGGAGGGAGAGAGGGAGGGAGGGAGGGAGGGAGGGAGGGAGGGAGGGAGGGAGGGAGGGAGGGAGGGAGGGAGGGAGGGAGGGAGGGAGGGAGGGAGGGAGGGAGGGAGGGAGGGAGGGAGGGAGGGAGGGAGGAAGGGAGGGAGGGAGGGAGGGAGGCAACAAGGAAGGTTCATTTTTTCTGAGTTTTCGAAGGTGATTTTCCTGCATTCACCACTCCGCCCATCCAGAATCCAACCACCATGTATTGCTAACCACCCAACCCCCTTTCCGGGCCCTTTCACTCCAACCACCCAACTCATGGCCGCACTCCCCCTTTTCACCCTTCCTCCCCTCCTCTTCCCCACAACTCTTGAGCCCAGCTATAGGCCCACAAGTCCTTCCCTCTGTGGGGAGCTCTCCACCCCTCTCCTACTCCTCCCCCCCCACACCCACCTGTTTAACGCCGAGTGGTCGCCCCAGTATGCATACAACCCCGCAACACGCGCTGCCAAGTCGCCAGACACACACCCCTTCTGCTGCACCACGCCCCACTTTCTGACTGCCAAGCACGACCTCCCTTTCTTACCCGTGGAGCGAGGGTTGGTCTCCCCAGTACGCATACAGCCCCGCAACACTGGCCGCCAGGTCGCCAGGCATGGGCGCCCCCTGCTCCACCACGCCCCACAGCGCCCATTTCTCCCCTCACCCTCCTTACCTCCACCACGCCCCACAGCGCCCATTTCTCCCCTCACCCTCCTTACCTCCACCACGCCCCACAGCGCCCATTTCTCCCCTCACACTCCTTACCTCCACCACGCCCCACAGTGCCCATTTCTCCCCTCACCCTCCTTACCTCCACCACGCCCCACAGCGCCCATTTCTCCCCTCACCCTCCTTACCTCCACCACGCCCCACAGCGCCCATTTCTCCCCTCACCCTCCTTACCTCCACCACGCCCCACAGCGCCCATTTCTCCCCTCACCCTCCTTACCTCCACCACGCCCCACAGCGCCCATTTCTCCCCTCACCCTCCTTACCTCCACCACGCCCCACAGCGCCCATTTCTCCCCTCACACTCCTTACCTCCACCACGCCCCACAGCGGCCGCTCCGCCTGCTCGGGATGGCCCTGCTCTCACGTGCCCACCCTTACCTGTGAAGAGAGGGTTGGTCTCCCCAGTGAACATACATACATCCCCGCCACACTCGCCGCCAGGTCGCCAGACATGCGCCCCCCCTGCCCCGCTACACCCCACAGCACCCATTTCTCCCCTCACCCTCCTTACCTGCTTAGCCCTGTGTGGTCGCCCCAGTAGGCATACAGCCCTGCAACACTGGCGGCCAAATCCCCAGGTACAGGCGCCCCCTGCTGCACCACGCCCCACAGCGCCCGCTCAGCCTGCTCGGGGTAGCCTGCATTGAACCAGAGCGTCACCAGCTTCCCCTGCATGCCCGCCTGCGCCCGCGCTGCTGCCACCTCCCCCGCTTGCAGCACCCATAGGTCTCTTTCCCTTTCCCTCTCCCTCTCCAGCCTCTGAATTTCCCTGCTCCTCTCCCTCTCCCTCTCCTTTTCTGACTGGTGTACCCTTCTCAATCGCTCTAGCTCCTCCCGAGATGAGTTCTGACTCGCTTCAAGAAACCTCCCCCTCCCTCTCACCCTCTCCATCTCCTCTATTCTTTGCATCTCCCTCCTTTGCCCTTCCCCCTCCTGCTGCCTCAACTGTACAACTGACTCTGCCTCTGCCTCTGCCTCTGCCTCTGCTTCTGCTTCTGCCTGTGCTGGTGCAAGTTCCCCTAAAAGTAGCAACTGCTGCTCCCTCTCCCTCTCCCTCTCCCCCTCCCCCTCCCCCTCCCCCTCCCCCTCCCCCTCCCCCTCCCTCCCCTTCTCTAACTTATGCGTTCCTTGTTGCACTTCCGATTCACCCTCCCACTGCACATCTCCTCTTGCGTTTCGTTGCAGGTCCAGCAGCAACGAAGACGCATCACGCTCTTGCGAGCCTAGTCTGTATCCCTCCTCTTCTTCCCTCATGCTTCCCCCACTCAAGCGCCCTGGTGAAAGCCCAGTAATCTGTGCATCTCGCCTCAAAAATAGTCTTCCATCCACCTCCTCTCCTACTTGCTGGTACGGCTGTGCCTCTCGCCCTTTCACCTCGTTTCCCCCTTTGCCCGCCTGTCTAAGCACTGCTAGCAGCGCCTCCCGCTGCCCTTCTCTCTCGCAGACAGCCTCCCTCAGTCTTTGCAGGTCACCCTCGCACTCCTCTGCACACCACTGCACCACTTGCTCTGCCTCATGCCTCAGCGTTGCCCCGTGAACCTGCATGCGTCCAAGTAAAGGGACGAGGGGAGGATTGAGAGGAGGTTGTTGAGAGTGCTGCTTTAAGCGGTGCCTGAAAATCTGCCTCGTAATGCACTGTTGCCCTGTGGACCTGCGTGTGCCAGTGGCACAGTGGAGGTGACCTGCATGTGTGCAAGTGGCAGGAACGGAAGGTTCGAGAGGCGGGCATTGAGAGGGGGGCAATGGATAGGGGGCATTGAGAGGGGGGCATAGATAGGGGGCATTGAGAGGGGGGCATGGATAGGGGGCATTGAGAGGGGGGCATAGATAGGGGGCATTGAGAGGGGGGCATGGATAGGGGGCATTGAGAGGGGGGCATGGATAGGGGGCATTGAGAGGGGGGCATGGATAGGGGGCATTGAGAGGGGGGCATAGATAGGGGGCATTGAGAGGGGGGCATGGATAGGGGGCATTGAGAGGGGGGCATGGATAGGGGGCATTGAGAGGGGGGCATGGATAGGGGGCATTGAGAGGGGGGCATAGATAGGGGGCATTGAGAGGGGGGCATGGATAGGGGGCATTGAGAGGGGGGCATGGATAGGGGGCATTGAGAGGGGGGCAATGGATAGGGGGCATTGAGAGGGGGGCAATGGATAGGGGGCATTGAGAGGGGGGCAATGGATAGGGGGCATTGAGAGGGGGGCATAGATAGGGGGCATTGAGAGGGGGGCATGGATAGGGGGCATTGAGAGGGGGGCATGGATAGGGGGCATTGAGAGGGGGGCATGGATAGGGGGCATTGAGAGGGGGGCATAGATAGGGGGCATTGAGAGGGGGGCATGGATAGGGGGCATTGAGAGGGGGGCATGGATAGGGGGCATTGAGAGGGGGGCATGGATAGGGGGCATTGAGAGGGGGGCATAGATAGGGGGCATTGAGAGGGGGGCATGGATAGGGGGCATTGAGAGGGGGGCATGGATAGGGGGCATTGAGAGGGGGGCATGGATAGGGGGCATTGAGAGGGGGGCATGGATAGGGGGCATTGAGAGACGGGCGGTGCTCTTAAAGCGCCTCAGAAGTTGGTTAGTGCTGCAACCCTGCCCCGTGGACCTGCATGTGCAAGTGGCACAGAGGGGAGAATTGAGAGGGGGGCATCGAGAGGAGGAGGGCATTGAAAGGAAGGGATTGAAAGGAAGGGATTGAGAGGAAGGGATTGAAGGAAGAAATTGTCACTTACAGCAGATTTTTGTCCCACCAGACCCATCCTTTAGTCCACCCAAAGCAGAATCGTCCAATCTGGTCACTCGCCTCCAGTAGAAGTCCCTCCAAGGGAGATAACTGCCTCACCACGCCCATCTGCTGCAGGTCCCTCAACTCCTCTCTCCTCAATTCCTGCACTACTCACTACTCACCTGTCAGCATGACAGCATGGCATGATCGCCTGTCTAATTTCCTCACCTCCAGTACAAGCCCGTCCAAAGGAGACAGCTGCCCCACCACGCCCATGTGCTGCAGGTCGCTCAGCTCTTCTCCCCTCCCCTCAACTCACTCATCACTCAATGCTCCCTTGTCAGCATGCCATGAATACCTGCCTATCTATGCTCACCTCCAGTAGAAGCCCCTCCAGAGGCGACAGCTGTCCCACCACGCCCATCTGCTGCAGGTCCCTCAACTCCCTCCGCGCCACACTCAGCTTCTCCTGCTCCTTCACCGCACCGGCCAACACCGCACTGAACCCCGCCACGCCCACCTCCACCCCGGCTTCTCTCAGCATGCGCGGCAGCGGCAGCACCTGCCGGTACTGCCCCGCGTTCACAGCTCGCAGCAGCAGCAGCCCCACTAGATCCTCCCTCTCCTCCGCTGCTCTCATCCCCGCTTCATCCCCCACCGCCTCTGCTGCTGCCCCTGCTGCTGCCTCTGCTGCTCGCATCGCCGCTGCTTCATCCCCCTCCCTCTCTGCTTCTACCTCTCTTGACTTTGACTCGCTGCCTGCCTGCCTACCCCCTTGCTCCTGCCTTTGCCCTGCCCTCGCCTCCTTCGCCCCCCCTGAGCTGACAACGATACCATCCCCACTGATCCCTCCTCTTCTGCTCTGTAATCGACTATGCTCCTCACTGCCCTCCGCTCCTGAGAATCGTCCATCTGCCAGCGCCCCTGGACCCGGTTTTCTCTGTATCACCATTTCCTCGCTGCTGCCAGTGCCACCGCTGCTACTGCTGCTACTGCTGCTGCTGCTGCTGCTGCTACTGCTGCTCTGTTTGCCGTTGCTTCTGGCGCCGGTGCTACTCCCAGTGGCTTCACGGCTGCTCGCTCGCACGAGCAGCTGCAGCTTCAGCCGCTCCTGAATCTCCTGCCGCGCGCTCCCTGGGGAGTTCACACATTGCGCGGCTGCAACACGAGGGAGGGAGGGGAGGGGAGGGGAGGGGAGGGGAGGGGAGGGGCGGGGAGGGGCGGGGAGGGGAGGGGAGGGGAGGGGAGGGGAGGGGAGGAGAGGGGTGGGAGGAAGGGAGGGAAGGAGGGAGGGAGGGAGAAGGGGAGAAATTTTATAGGCGGCTCAAGAATCGCATGGTGGAAGGCTGTAAGAGAACGAGGGTGGGGAAGAGGGTGGTGAGGGAGGGAGGGAGGATGGAGTGGCAGCAGAATTTAATGTAAAAGGTGTAGTGAGGTGCAAGTGTGGGAGGGAAGGGCGCGGGAAGCAACAGCAGCAGATCAAGGGAGACCTGGAACGCAAAAGACAGCAGAAGCAGGTGCGGTATTGATGGAACGGGAAAAGCAGTGAGGAGGGAAGGCGGTGAGGAGGAAGAAGAGGAGGTGCGGGTGGGGGCGGGGGTGAGGCCGGGGGGGGGGGGGGAGGAAGGGGGAAGGAGGAAGGGGGAAGGGGGAAGGGTTGAGTTAGAGAGAAGAGGCGGCGGTGAAAACGGGAAAGGTGGTGAGAGAGCGGGAGGCGGGCGGTAGGGCGGGGGAAAATGAGAATGTGTTACCTTGAGTTGCGCGGTCTGATGGCCTCGCCTCCCCATCTTTCTGCCCACCACTACCAATCTCCACCTCATCCTCACTCTCACTTAACCCACTCCACACACTCCCCTCCTCACTTTCCTCCCATTCTTTTCCCTCCCCATCTTCCTCTTCCTCTTCCTCGTCCTCCTCTTCCTTCACTTCCTCCTCCTCATTCCAAGACACAACTCTCACTCCAGCTACCACTCCCTGCTCCTTCCACGCACTTTCGTCCTCGTTCCGGAACATTCTCAGAAGCTTCACAACTTCCGCCACCGCCCCTCTATCCCACAGCTCCTCCCCCACCATTCTTTTCAGCGGGAAATCCGGGGGCAGCCCGAGATCCACCATCCTGCCCACCAGCCGCAAGACCTTTTCCGTCGGGCAGCCTTCCTGTAGCAGCTGCCCGAGGCGCTGGTCCATGATGACGTGGATGAGGCGCCGCGTTCGGCGCTCCACGCGGTTCCCGCGGACCATCCAATCGTAGACCTCGAGGGCCTGCCACATGTCGCGGCCCTGTTGGGCGAAGTAGGCGATGAGAATCTCGAGATCCTCTAGAGAGAGCTTGTCCTGTTCGCGTGTGGGACGGACGGACGGAGGGTGGGGAAGATACATGGAATGCAAGAGGGAGGCGGGTGTCGGCAACCGGATGAAGTAGACGATGAGAATCTCGAGATCCTCTGAGAGAGCTTGTCCTGTTCGCGTGTGGGACGGACGGACGGAGGAAGGAAAGACATGGGGAAGAGACGGGGGAGGCGAGAGGGAGGGGGGTATACGGGAAGGGAGGGGGGTAGTCGAGGGGATTAAACAGGTAGATAAGAATCTCGAGATCCTCGTGGGACAGTTTGTCCTGTTACCAAGAGGGAGGGAGGAGGGGAGGGGCAGAGTAGGGGAAAGACATGCGGAAGAGATGGGGGAGGCGAGTTGGAGGGGAGGGGAGGGTAGGCGACAAGATGAACCAGGGAATAATAATCTCAAGATCCTCGAGAGAGAGCTTGTCCTGTTCGCGTGTGGGAGGGAGGGACGGAGGGAAGTCACAAGGAAGACACGGGGCGAGACGAGTTTTGAGACGTCTCAAAACTAGATCCTCGAGAGAGAGCCTGTCCCCCTGTTCGCGTGTGGGCGGGAGGGAGAGAGGGAAGTCACAGGGAAGACACGGGGCGAGACGGGGAAGGCGAGAGGGAGGGGGGGAGAGTACAGGAGGGGAGGGTAGGGTAAGAACCGAGATGAATCGGATTATAAGGATTCGAGATTCCCGAGAAAGAGAAAGCTTGCCCTGTTACACACATGCGAGAGAGGGAAGACATGGGGAAGAGACAGGGGATGTGGAAGGGAGGGGAGGTGCGGGAGGGCAAAGGAGTCGACAGGATGAAACAGGCGATGAAGATCTCGAAAAAAAAGGAGGCGGGAGGAGAGAGTCGAGAGGAGGCGCCGGAGGGGAGAGGCGGGAGGGGGCGCGGGAGGGGAGAGGCGGGAGGGGAGAGGCGGAAAATGTACCTTCATGCTATCGAGCACGGCGGCCGGTTCGCGCATCATGGCTTCCAGTTGCCGCACCGCCTCCATCACCGCCACCGACCGCCGCCATCCCTGCCCCTCCGAACCTACTGCTAGCTCCAATCCCGTTCCTCCCAAACCTGGACGCAGTCCCGAACCTAATCCCGCGTCGGCAGTTGCCATGGTTGCTACAGTGACTCCGCGCCTACACGCGAGTCGTTGGTAACCTGATAACGGATGATATGTTTGACGGAAAGGGTGTCTGCTGTGGTAACCCGAACAGAAATGTTCGCTATTGAGGCTGCTGCGAAATGTTACAGGTTCGATACCACTGCTTCTCAGGGAGGCGCGAATACGTTGCGTGGTTCGAGAGCCCAAGGGAGCGGACGAAATGGTCGACTCTAAACTCGCGCAACAACAAGACTCGGATCCTGTCGCACAGGGTCGTGATGGGAGCGACGTCGCCCGCCGTCGCCTTCTGTTTTGTCGCCCATAGGGACTCAAGACGCCGTAAGAAGCGGAGAGTGTCCGATGACATTCCTGCTGGGAAACCTAGACGGGGTGGGCTGACAGGCTGTGGAAGTCGCGCAACTGGCGGCGATCTGACGAGTCAGCGACATGCTGGTAACCTTGTGTAAGCGTTTTACTCTTACTTGCTACACTGATATGTCCCTCGCTAAGCAGTACGTGTAGGCGTGGTAAGATCGATGAGCAGGGGAAATCAACGGCTAGCTCGTCTTCAAATGATCTCCATCACCCTGTGAAGGTTTAGAAACAGCCAATTGCGTCTGACGAGGCGGCGAACGACCGAGCGACAGCGAGATCAGAATACCCTGGGTGATTGGACGGAATAGCTTAGAAAGACAGACAGAACGTGCCACTCATTGACCATGAATGTATTATTGACTGACCGCTGACCGTACTATGGTATGGTACCGCGGCTGAACTGTTCTCATCGGCTAAATGCAGACCGTCAGAACCGAAACTCTTCGACTAAACGCATGAGAAGGCGAAAATAGTGGCTGGAGATTGGAATGGGTATTTCCAACAAGGGGAGTTGAAGCATAGTTTGCTCCTGGAATATTTTCACAACTCCCAACCAAAGGGCGACGTGGAAGCAAGATACAAAGCGAGGGAAGGCGCATAGGAAAGAGGAGGGGACTGGCTCTGTGCTTGCGTAAGGTCGCCCCCACCAGCCCAAGCATAGAATGCTCATTCGACGCGACAGCCATGGCGGTTCGTTGGTGTGTGATCTGTGAGGAGATCCGCGTCAGCAAGTGATGATACCAGAAGAAAAGGTCCATAAAACCCCTGAACTACCCTAGCCTTATTTTGGGTTATTGGACGACAACTCCCCCACAACAACTTAGCTCGAGATGTAGTCATGCTCCCAGAACATAACTGAGTTTAAAGGCTTTGGTCTTTCATAGAAAACGTAGGTATTATACACCCATTTTCAGAAGTCTGCACACTAAATGCCCCAACAAGAGGTGCGGTTTCAGTGCAGCACATTCCGACGCGGAACAAGTAGGCCGAGAATGATGACGTGGCAAACGTCCAGGTGGAAGGTGCTTCACCTCACTGGAAAGCTGGAAACCAGTGACATTGCGGCGGAAGAGCCAAGTGGCAACGGGCAGAAGGTGCAAAGGTGGCGTGCCGTCGCTCGCTCGTGCGGCGCACCCTCGTTGGTTGGATGACTTCGAAGGCCCATATCCATCTGTGGACCCCTAAAGTAGAAGGGAAAATATGTCACAAGTAACCAAAATGGGACTCGATAACGTGAATGGTCAACGATTAACGCGTACGGTCACTGTATCGGGTTTGCTGACGGGTTTGGTAAGTGGGGTCACGGATTCAGTCACTAACAACAGGTGAAAAATCACGTGAATGGTCACACATGTAACTCCCGCCAAAATTTCTTGAAACTCTACAAAATTCCCGCTCGCGCTCAACCAATCAGCTAATTTCTAAAAATACTAAAACCCAATCGGAATCGGATGCGGTTTGGGAACGGATCAACCCTAAACACCTGCCTGTCAAACTTATATATACTATAGTCTGTTTAGGCTGTAGTGGGGTAGTCCTTAGAGGGTACAACACTTTTGTGTTTTCTACTTGTACCCCACCTGTTTCCTAGTTCACATCATTCCTCTCATTATTCTCACATGGTATAGAGCAGGTTCCCTAGTGGAACTGTTTTTTTTTTTAGGGCCCACCACTACGATTTTTTTTTCCTTACCTGCCCGAAGCGCGTTTCGCGTTTGTCCTAGCAGCGCCCCGTGCGCCTGCCCTTCGCGGCCCTTCGCGGCCCCTCGCGGCCTTCGCGGCCCCTTAGCGGCCCTTTGCGGCCCCCCTTCGCGGCCCTTCGCGGCCCCTTTCGCGGCCCTTCGCGGCCCCTTAACGGCCCTTCGCGGCCCCCCTTCGCGGCCCTTCGCGGCCCCCCTTTAGCGGCCCTTCGCGGCCCCTCGCTGCCCTTCGCGGCCCCTTGCGCGGCCCCTTGCGCGGCCCTTCGAGGCCCCTTCGCGGCCCTTCGCGGCCCTTCGCGGCCCCCTCACGGCCCTTCGCGGCCCTCTTCGGCGGCTCTTCGCGGCCCCTTCCGGCCCCTGCTGGTGCGCCCCTGCCGGACCCTGCTGACGAGCCCCTGCCGGCCCCTGCTCACGAGCCCCTGCCGGCCCTTGCTGGCGTGGCCCCTGCTGGCGCGCCTCTGCCGGCCCCTGCTGACGCGCCCCTGCTGGCGCGCCCCTGCCGGCCCCTGCTGACGCGCCTCTGCCTGGCCCCTACTGGCGCGGCCCCTACAGTCCCGGCCCGCCCCTGCACCCGTCTCTGGTAAGCCGAGCCGCGCCACCCAGCCGAGCCGCGCCGCCCAACCCAGCCGCGCCGCCCAGCCGCGCCGCGCCGCCCAGCCGAGCCGCGCCGCTCAGCCGAGCCGCGCCGCCCCCACCGAACCGCACTGCCCTACCGAGCAGCACTGCCTTGCACTGCCCTGCTGCTATTGTTTCTACTGCTGCTACTGCTGCTACTCTTGCTACTGCTCCTACTGCTGCTATGGCTAGTCCTACCGTTCTCACCTTTGATGCTGAGGGACGTGCAGTTGATTTTGACGTGTGGGTTGACGACCTACAGCTCTTTCTTTAGTGTGATTCTAGGGATGGGGTATCCCTTTTCGATCACACGTCCGGTGTTTCCACTGCTCCTGCTGCCACTGCTGACAGTACTGTTCGTTCGCAGTGGACCACTCGTGACGCTATTGCTCGTCTTGCTGTTCGTAGTCACCTGCCGCCTGCTGAGCGCGCACACTTTGGCCAGTACAAGACTGCTCAGTCTTTGTACGACGCTGTAGTTGCACGCTACTCCTCCCCTGCCACTGCTGCCCTCAGCCGCCTCATGCTGCCGTACCTTTTCCCTGACCTTGCCGCCTTTGCCACAGTCGCTGACCTAGTTGCTCACCTTCGCACCAGTGACGCCCGCTACCGCGCTGCCCTTCCCACTGAGTTCTGTGCCACGAACCCCCCCCCCATGTACATCACCCTTTACTACCTAGTCACCCGCCTCCCTGACTCCCTCTCTTCAGTCAGGGACCACTTTCTCTCCCTTTGCCCCACCGAGCTGACTGTCGACCTGCTAGAGGAGCGCCTTGCTGCAGGTGAGAAGAGTATCTTAGCTGTAGGTGCTTCTCGCGGCGACCGTCGCACCCCCTTCTTTGAGGGGTGTTCCCCTGTTCCCCTTCTCCCCTCTGTTGCTTCTGCTGCTGCTGTCGACCTCAATGGCACTGAGGAGGTCGGAGCTGCGTCTGCCCCTAGTGGGAGACGCCGCAACAGCAAGGGCAAGGGGAGCAAGGGTGGTGGAGGGGGCAGCGGGGGAAGCAGTGGAGGAGGTGGAGGCGGTGGAGGAGGTGGCGGTGTAGGTGGGGGTGGTACCGGGAGTGGGGCCGTCAGTGGCGGCGGTGGAGGTCGTGGCGGCGGTGGCGGAGGTGGTGGAGGCAGCGGCAGCGGTGGTGGAGGTGGCGGCGGCGGTGGTGCTGGGCGAGGTGCAGCAGCGCAGCGTGGAGGCTTTGGTGGCAGCCAGCGCCAGCACCAGCTGCGCACCCGTGAGACCCCGTCGGTTCAGCAGCTTCGTGAGTGGTACGCTGGGCGTGGGAGGTCTGGGAGTGCAGGTCCCTGCACTTACGTTCTTCGCACCGGCACTCGGAGTGGGGAGGTGTGTGGGCTCCCACACACCACGCAGCGCTGCTTCGGTCGCTTGACTGACGCTTGGCGTACCCAGTTTCCTGACGCCGTTGAGCTCCCTCGCTGGCATGATCTGCTTCTGCAGAATGTGCCTATCTTTGATCTAGATTTTGATGCTATCCTTGCTGCCATGTATGCTCTTGCTGATAGTGCTGAGGGTGACTGTTACCTGAGTGTCCCGCCCGACCCAGGCATTGCGGCTGCTGCTCTAGGTGCTAGTGCGTCTGCTGCTCCAGGTGCTGGTGCGTCTGCTTCTCCAGGTGCTGGTGCGTCTACTCTCTCTGGTACTGCACCTACTGAGTCCTTGCACACTTTCACACTTGACTCTGGTGCTTCGCGCTCTTTCTTTAGAGACAGCACCACGCTCACGCCGCTCAGTCGGCCTGTTGCGGTCTCCCTTGCTGACCCCTCAGGGGGCTCAGTCCTTGCACACTCCTCCACGGTTCTACCGTGTCCTGCGGCCCCGTCGGGCTTGCTGTCGGGACTCCACCTCCCCTCGTTCTCTACGAACTTGGTGAGTGGAGCTGACCTCCAGGACGCGTGGGTTGACCAGTTCACCCCTGGAGGTCAGAGTGTGACCCACTGCACTTGCTCTCGGACGGGCCGCCACCTGGCCACGTTCACCCATCGGCCAGGGTCGAGTTTGTACACACTGACTACTGCGCCTCCTCCGGTCCCTGCGTCTGGTCACGTAGCTGCGTCTAGTCAGGTGTTTGCTGCCGCGTCCAGGTCTAGTCCTGCGTCTGCCCCCTGCTCGTGTCGTCCTCTGGCACACGAAACTCTCCTTTGGCACCACCGCCTTGGTCACCCCTCCCTGCCTCGTCTTCGAGGTATGGCCTCCCGTACTCGTCTCTGGACTCCCCAGGTCCCTCCCTCCCCTTCCTCCGGGGCCTGCCCCCACCTGTGTTCCTTGTGTCGAGGGCCGGCAGCGCGCCGCTCCTCACTCCTCCTCGTTCC